GGTGCTTTAGAATAGAGAGGCAGCCTGGCATAGGGGCAACTAATGTGTGTCAGCCCCTTTTCTTTAATTTAGGGTCTTAGAGAGTTACCTGGAGAGAGCAAGAAGTGTTTAATGACTTGACCATGGTCCTACGAACCATGTGTATCATATGGGATTCGAACTTAGGTCTTCCTGGCTTTAAGGCCGGCTTTCTTTCCACTGTGCCATACTATTAAATAGAAAGCTGTCCTCAGAGACAAGAAGACCTGGGTTCAGGGCCTGCCTCTGAACACTTCCTTGCTGTGTGACTCAGTGTCAGCAGCCTATATGGAGGAAATAATTGAAGATCTAAACCAAATCAAAACTGTGCTCAAAGGGCCTGGTTTGGTGTCACTGGCCAGACAAACAGACTGGTTGTTAATTGAGCCTTGTTAACATGGACTTCACTTTTGTTCACTCTCTCCTATTTTTACTTTATGAATGTAAAGTGCTATATATATATATGATAGTTTTATTGTTTATCTTTATTTGCTCTTCCATTAATCTAAATGGAACTGGGATCAAAGACTCAGACAGATAACAGGTGCACATCACCTGATTTGCTACAGAGTGATGAAATTTTTGACTGTAGAAACTCTCGAACACCACCTAGTAGGTTGTAGAAAGGTCACAAGCTTCATGCTTGGAGGATGTATCTACACTAACATAATCACTGCTCTTTGAAGTACTGATCCTGAGGCAATAGTAACTTAGAAACGAATTTTTGCTGTAGTCCTGTATTTGTTTGAATTATAAGCTTCCAGATACTTGTGTCTGGGTGTTTTATGTTCTTTGTAACTTTCCCATTGTCTAATATAGTGCTATGAATGCATTTTGCACGTATCAAGAGTCTTTTAATGGAGTAGTTGACAGTTTGATCAAGCTTATTTAAAAAGATAAATTTTATTTTTTATCATTAGGGAGATAATACGAAGAAAAGCTGTTCAGGCATTGTACAAATTCCACCTCATTGCTCCCAATCAAGTTCAACACATTCATGTTAAATTTAGGAAAGCACTTTGCGATAGGGATGTTGGGGTCATGGCTGCTTCTCTGCACATTTATCTTCGCATGATTAAGGTAAGTTGAAAATTATTGTCAGCATAAATTGATTAGTTTTTTGTTATTTAGTTTAATAAGGAATTATTAATAAAGAATTATAGTAGGGGCAGTTCAGTAGTGCAGTGGATAGAGTACCAGCCCTGAAGTCAAGAGGACCTGAGTTCAAATCCAGCCTCAGAACAAACACTTGACATGTACTAGCTGTGTGACCCTGGGCAAGTCATTTAATCCCAATTGCCTAATTTTAAAAAAAGAAATAAAAAATTATAGTAAAATGTTATATTAAAACCATTTAGGTGGCTGGATGGTACTGTGAGTAGTGTGTTAGACTTGGAGGAAGTCCTGAGTTCCAGTCCAACCTCAGACATTTACCTTAGGTGTATCACTTAATCTCCCTCAGCCTTCATTTCCTGATCTATAAAATGGGGATAATAATAGCACCCACCTCACAGGACTGTTGTGGGGCTCAATGTAAAGTGCTTTGCAAACCTTAAAGTCCTATGTAAATGCTAGCTTTTGCTATTTTTTAAATTTCTCTTTAAGTTTTGTGTATTTCTTTTAATTTGTAGATTATTGATAATACCATATATATTACAGAGGTTAATTACAAAATGTAGATATTAGAGAATGATTAAGAATTCTGAACATTGCATTGTAAAGTTCGAAATGTCTGTTGGCCACAAGAAAGCCTTCAGAATTTGCGAACTTTATTTTTTTTTCTTTTGCAAGGCAATTGAGGTTAAGTGACTTGCCCAGGGTCACACAGCTAATATGTGTCAAATGTCTGAGGCTGGATTTGAACTTAGTTACTCCTGACTGCAGGGCCGGTGCTGTATTCACTGTACTGCCTAGTTGCCGCTTGCAGACTTTTTTTATGTTTTTGAGTCTTTGTGGTTTGTTGTCCCAACACATGCTCGTATGCCCTACCAATGATGCTGTATTTACCAGGCTCTGTGAGGTGTAGGGCCTCTTGCAAAGGTAAGAAAGAATGGAGACTATTGTTAATGCTTGCCTGCAAAACTGATTCCATTTATCTTCCTCCCTACTAGGCAGACTAGGGTAGGTAGTGACTCTGGAGAGGCAAGTAGCACTAAAGTCTCCCTGATCAAAAAATGCCTCTCAGATTATGTTCTACTAATTAGAGATACATTTGGATTAATGAAATCCTCTTTTGAGATAACTAGTACTCCTGAGAAGTTTAAATCTTCTTCATAACTTAATATGAATTCCTGTAAAAAGAATGCTACAAATTGAGTGCTCTTGCATGGTTTGTACAGCCAAAGGACATCATGAATCTACTAGGTGTCTGGGATAAGGAAGGGAGTGGGAGAAGGGTTCAGAAAAAAAGATAGGATAAGAGAGGCCCTGGTGGCAGCCAAGTATGTATCCCTGGTGTAGGTAATCCTTAGGCATTTTGTAGATTGCTACAATTGCCTAGCATATAGAGAATAATTTTTCAAAAAGTATTTATAGACAAAGTATGAAGTTTAGTTGGCTTCTTATATAGGTAAGAATTATGTACAATGCCTAATATTTTACAGGCAAAATTTTTAATATTGGAATGTGCCTTATTATATCCAGAAGTGGTAATACATGTTTCCTAGTTAGACTGGAATATTCAGGATGGAATGTATTATGAGTAGGTATATACTTTGACAGACAGCAGAGCGTACTGGAATTAAGTGCTGGTTTGGGAGTTAGGAATACTTGCTTTCATATCCCATCTGTTAAATACAAGCTTTCTGACAATGGCAAGTTGTTTAACTTTTTAGCACTTCTGGCACTTGTCCAAGATCATAAAAATTGGACAGGCAAGTTACAGGTGAAAGGACTTTCCATATCTCTAGTTCCCCACATTGATGATATCATAGGTCTGAACCAAAAAAAAAATTGTTTTAATTATTTTTCTAGTGGTGGTAGAAAATTTTTTTTTAATATGGCTTTCTTAGTACTCTGTTGTAGCCATCTGTTGTTTACCATTTAATGATTATACATTGACTTCAGTTATATGTATTAGATGATTTCTAGACATGGTCTGTATAAAGTGACAGCTAATTTCCTTTTCAGTGAGAGCCTGCCCAGACCCCACCATACTCGAATATTTAAGCAGCCATATTGGTTTTATCCTCCAGAGGTTAGTGGCTATTTAAATTTTAGATGAAAAAGCCACATTGAATTGCTTTTTCAAACAGAGTTCAAAGGAAACAGGTAGTTCTGGATTTGCATTCCAGAAGTCAAATTATTACTGTTAATTTAAGTATGCCAGTTCTCTGTCAGTATTGTTTTGCCGTAATGACTGATAGCTAAGGCTTCCAACTGAGTTTAACAAGGACTTTTGAACTGTTGACTGAACTGGTAGGGCTATCTCTGAGGTTGATTCAGCATGGGTTTGGGAAGTCCTAGGAGCTCTGTTTGTTTCCTTGTATTGTCATGGAAGAAACCAGATGTGCAAAATTAGAATACTGCTTTATTAGATGCACAGTATTAAATTCAAGCATATGAACTTGAATTATGAAGTTGATCAGTTGCTTAAGGCATATGGATTGTATTTCATTTCCTGTTTAATAAGATTCTTTGCTTAAAAGAAGTTTTTTTCCCCCTTGATATAGGAGAATCCATCTGCATATAAGGACTTGACAGGAAGCTTTGTAACAATTTTGAAGCAAATAGTGGGAGGAAAACTCCCAGTAGATTTCAATTACCACAGTGTACCAGCACCTTGGCTACAAATTCAGCTCTTGAGGATATTAGGACTTCTAGGAAAAGATGATCCAAGGTAAATTTTTCTACATAATTTTATTTTTTAAAATCAGGAATAAGCAAGGGATGGTTTGCTGGGTAGGGGAGGAGGGAGGAAATATCTTTGGAGATAAAGGTAAATAATAAAAGATATTGAGGATAATTAAAAATTTAAATATTAGTAAGAAGCAGAATCACAAAGCTCAACGCATTTAGTAGTTTCACCATGGCCCATATTTTCCTGGTACCTTAGTGACTTAATAGTGTTAAAAGAACTATTTTGGGGAGCATATAAATTCCTTCAGTTACTTCATTATGAGTTGTGTTCTCTTTTTTCCTTTTCTGCTTGTCCAAATTCTGTCTGCCTTAAAAGGCCTATCTCAAATCTTAGTTCCACCTAAAGTGATCTCTTTGATTTTATGAAAACTTATTCTGGATTCTAGTAGCACTTAATGTTTGTATTATTTATTTGGCACTTCTCATATACTGCTTTGTTGTTAGTTGGTGTTTCATGGGTATATATCAGAGTTCTCTAAGTATACAGTACTCTAAGTTGTTTGAGGGCAAAGGCTTTTGTCTTAAATCTCTTTATATCCTCCAGAGTGCTTAGGATATTGCCTTGCCCATAATGGGTGTCTAGAAATAATTGTTAATTAATTTAAAGTTTTTCTTCCAAAGGTAAAAAACATTTTGCATAAGGGCATATGAATTTAGGTTCTTAGCGTCTCTCTAGTCTACTGCTTTCAGGAATGTCCTCACTAAGAACCTTATGGGAATTCCTCCTCTTTTGGGTCTCCATCCACTTGAAAGAATGCCTAGGAAGAAGCTGTCTTTGTGCTATTGTATTATTCCCCCCCCCCCCCCCCCCCCGTTGTCAGTGAGGTTAACACCTAATGTTTCTTTGAGGTGGAAACTAGAGTTGATAGGGCAGGTAAGCACATAAAATATTTCTGCCATAAACTTAAGGGACTCTGTAAAGGTGTTTCATGGTATCAATATAGTGTGAAAATAGTGGTTATTTCAGGAATGCATTGTATTCTTTTGGGATGCAAGTTAGTAGACTTCTAAGTTATTACTGAAGGAATAATTTAGGTATTTGTTGTATCAAACTTAATAAGAATTACAGTAGAGTTGCTTGATTGCTCTGGCATTAACAACCTTCCTTACGAACCATATAATACTAGGATTTTATTTTGTGTAATTATTGCTTATAGTAGGGGGTCAGCAAACGAGGGTGAGAGGGCCAAATCCTGCTCCTTGTTTTTTTAATCTGTGAACTAAAAATGTTTTTTACATTTTAGTCTTATTGTATTTAAAAATGTAAAAAATATTCTTGACTGGAGGGGTTGTACAGAAACAGTTAGTGGACTGTACTTTGTCAACCCCTGACTTAGAATGTATGATTTGACCTATGATACTTCCAGATTATTAGATTAAAAGAATCACAAGAGAAGTTCTATAGTAATTAGGAAAAAATAAATGTAGCAATTGTAATGCCCTTGTAATAGACAACATATGTCTGGGATATTTATGTACATTTCAAACTTTTACCTGTACACTTACCTCTAATGTCATGTGGTTATTTACTATTTAGAAAGGCGTAAGTCATTCACAAGGTAGAATTGAGAAAAGTCCAGTTGAACGTGAACTTTTTTTCCCCTGTACATATGTTTGTTTTAAAACAATGAAAAGTAGGATATTTCTTAGGGTAGATATGACTCTTATTTCAAAATGCCTTATTAACCTGAGTAAATGTTCTTCCTAAATCTGACTTGTATAAAATGAATGTGGCCTATCAATGTCACTTTTCAGGACATACCTATGGATTTTTTTTCCTTTTCAAAGAAAATCTTGGACATGAAACTTCTATTTGGTACAATGTGACTTAGTTTATCCACTGTTTTGTCCATGGCTCTTGGTCTCTTGTTTATCTGAACCATTTTCCTATGGAATCCTTCCCTCTGCACAAGATAACATTCGTTTGTCAGCATGCTATGTTTCTAGTAAATTTCTGCATTATTCAACTAGCAGAACATGAGAAGATAGTCCTTTGTCTCTGGTCTCTTGGATGGAACAGGTTCCTTTTACAGAATCTCACAGTTGAAAATTTGCTCAGATGCCATCTTATCTGTTATGTACCTGAACAAAGATCTCTTCTTACCTTCCCAAGTAGTGGTTGTCCAGTCTTTCCTGGAAGATTTTTAGTTGGGGAGAGCCGACTGTTTTCTGAGGAAGCCCTTTATGTTTGAGACACCTCTGATTGTTAGGAAGTGTTTCTTTCTGTGGAGCCTGAATCTATCTCTTTGTAATGTCTACCTGTTGCTCCTATTTATAACTTTTAGGGCCATGAAGAAGGAGTCTGACCCCTCTTTCAATGACAGCTCTTCAGATACTTGAAGAGAGCTAACGTCCTCTCCTCTCCACACTCTGTATCTTCTCTTCTTTGCCGTAAACATTTCTAGTTCCTTCATTAGATCTTCATTTGGCATCTTCTTCAGTTATTTCATCATTCTGGTTACCCTTCTTTGGTTTGTTTATGTCTTTCCTAAAATGCTGTGCCCAGAACTGATGACCAGGGTGGAGGACAGCAGGAGTTTGACATCCCTCATTCTGGATTCTATGTCTTTCTTATTGGAGCTGACATATCACAGCATTTACTTATATGGAGCTGCAGAAAACTCAGACTTCAGATCTTTTTTACAGGCACTGTTGTCTAGCTGTGACTGACCTATCTTGTTCTTGTGCAGTTGATTTTTAAGAACTCTAGTGTAGAATTTGACATTTGCTCTTATTAAATTTCATCTTATTCCACTAGTCATATTATTCTAGGTTCTGACATTGTATAAAGCGTTATCATTAGCCTGTCTCTGAAAAGTTCATAGTTATCAGATATTGACCATAAAGTCACAGGAGAGGTGTAGATCTGTCGATTCAAGAGAAGATAATTGCAGAAACTTAATAGCAACACCTCTAGAATAACCATGTTAGCTAAAAAGTCTTTGGCTGTAATACCTAGTTGTTGGTAGGGAAAAGGGGAATGTCTCAAGACGTCTCCCTGGACCATCTAAATTACTGTGCTTCCAAATTGAATTGTGTCCAGACTGATTCCAGTGAACTTATAGTAAAACTTGAATAAGGTTTTGAATAAATATCTAGAGTGGTTTTTTTTTTTGCAAAGTTATAAAAATATCAATACCAAATAAAAAAACTTGATTTAGTAGTTAAATGGAATATTAAAGATTATGTAAGTCATTTTATCCACCAGTTAATATTGATAAAATAGTAAATCTAATCTATACATAATAAAGAATGAATGAAAATTACATTAAAACAGAAACTTAGAAACTGAATTTTTGCTAATGGAAAAAGAGCTTGCTTTTTTTAAAAAATATAAAAAGGAACCCAAGGAATTCATTGATTTGTACAATGTTAGAGTTAAAAGGACTTTGGAGATCATCTAGTCCAAGCCCTTCAAATCAGATTATTGGCCTAGAGAGGGCAAATCTTAGTTATCCTTTTAATTTTTTTCTGTAGTGAACATATCCACCAAAAATTTTGAAATACAAGTTTTAAAGCTATGTTTATTGGTTAGAGCTTTTATTTTATATTGTAAATAAATTATTTTTTAAACAGGACAAGTGAATTAACATATGATGTTCTTGATGAGTCCTTAAGAAGAGCTGAGTTAAGTCACAATATCACATATGGTAGGTAAATATATGTGGTAACTTTTAGTAACATAATATAGTAGAAGCCAGATGTGTCTCATAGTAATATAGCTATGCATTAAATGCCATAGATTTTACTTTTAATTCAGCAAGCACTTATTAAGTGCCTATATTTGTGCTAGGTGTTGGGGATATAAAAATGAAGAACCACAGAGTTGCTGCACTTAAGCCACTTTAAGAGAAATGGTTATTGATAACTAATGATTTGGGAAGATCCAGAGTTTCCCCCCTTTTTCTAAAGTCTTCATTTCAAGGCTCAGCCTCTGAAGGACAGGACTGAGCTTTATCGCTCTCCTCTATCTAAGTACTGCTACCCCACCTAACCTTACAAAGAATTTAATCTAAAGTTGAAACTCTGGCGCATTGTGTGTGGAATATAAATTCTTTGTCTAGGTTTCCTCTAGGCTGCTGGTGAGTTGGAAGTAAATGAGTAATCAAAGTCACGTCCCCCCCACCCCAGCCCCTCATTAGAATAGGTCTACCTCTCATTATAATATTCATGTTCTCATTAATTGTTAACCAATCAGAGTTGATTGCCACCCTCAGGAACATATACTCTTCCAAGCATATATAAACTGTGAGCCCACCAATATGATTCATCTTTGTTCCAAGAGAGATGGTCATCCCTTTTATTAATAATATGCTAGCATTAAATAAAATGATTGCCCAGAAACTGTCTCTTGATATTTTTATACATCACAACCTACAGAATAATAATTTAACCAGAAGCTTTTTAGGAATTCAGACTGTTATGACAGAAGGTAGAAAGATAGGAAGAAGCTGAACACTCTAAACGGTTTCTGGTTTTAGTGGTGTGGATCCTTTCATTGATGTAGGCCCCTCTGTGCCTTAACACAAAGTTCTATGAATTGCTTTAACCAAAAATGTAACTTTTTTGAGCAATTCCGTGGCAAATATGAACACTGAATATTTAATTGAATATATGGCAGGCGGTTTAGTACAGTGGAAAGAGCATTGAGGTTGGAGTCACAGGACAAGAATTTGAGTCTCCCTCTTCCACTTATTTCCTGAGTGACCTTAGGCAAATCACTTATCCTCTCTGAGCCCCAGTGTCCTCATCTGTAAAATGAAGGGGTTGGATTTGATAACCTCTAAGGTCCCTTCCAACTCTAGATCCATGATCTTATGAATCTATTACAGTATTTATCATCTCTTCGTTAGAGCATTTATTAAGCACATAATTGGATGTGATACCATGTTGAATGATACAAACCAGGTCCTTGGCTTTTAGAAGATACTCAGGGAGACAGTGACTTGAATAGAAAAAGAATAAAATCATACCAGCTTATGAAAAGATAGCAAGGTGTTTAAATGGATTATACATACATAAATTTACTTCCCTACTGACCGTCAGTAGGCTCTATGAGTTGATAGTCTTCTTTTAGGACTTTTCAGTTGCTGAAAAAAAAAAACCATTAAAATAGGTAGGAAAAAGTAGCCATGTTATTTTAAAATGAAATGCTACCATTTTATGAGTAGGTGGGAGAAGTTTTCCATTAATTTTTTTTTTTACATCATTGTCGATCTTTTCTTTATTGCTCACAGGTCCAAAACACGTGGAAAGGGCCATAGATTTGATCTGTTCAGATAGATGATTAACTGTGGCAATTGTGACTGCAGAATTAAATTTGATAAAGAGACATACTTATTTTTTGTCTCTTTTGTTGAACCTCAGAAAGGACATGAATTATGTCTTACTATTCTTTTTATCCTCTTTAGCACTTTGCACATATCAGTGACTTAGTATTTGTTGAATGAATTAATTATAAAATTTGGGCATAAAGTAAGTTTTTACAAAGATTATGGCCATGTGTTTTGAGTGATGAGCAGGAACAGCAAAGTCTTATTTTGATCTTTTAAGGGAAATGGACAAAAATAATGCATTTTTGAGGAAATTGTAACTGGTGATTAAAACATGACATTTCTAGTTTGATCTGCAAAGGTTCAAGGTCTATGACCAGAAAGAGTCAAAAGTGAAGATAGTGTTAATTTGTTTATGTAGATAAAAATTAATATATTCATAAGTACTTTGCAAGCTGTAAAACTTGATAGAAATGTGAGGTGTGTTGTCATAATAATAATAACTATTATTAACCTTATTATTAATACAAGGTCAGGTCATGCTTGTTATGTAGAATTCCAAAGCATTTGAGAGACTCTTTCCTGTATAAAAGAGTAGTTATGATTTTTTTCTTTACTATGGTAATGCTCCAACTCACAGTGAATTTTTTTTTTTTTTTTTTGGTGAGGCAGTTGGGGTTAAGTGACTTGCCCATGGTCACACAGCTAGTAGGTATCATGTGTCTGAGGCCAGATTTGAACTCAGGTCCTCCTGACTCCAAGGCCAGAGTTCTATCCAATGTACCACCTAGTTGCCCCATGAACTTTCTGTGAAACAATTTGTGACCCAAATCCCAGCATCATCATGCAAAATATTCACTGGACATAGCTCTGAATGACTTTTGCCTGCTTCTAAAAATTAATGCGCTCTTAGAGAATAAAGATTTGGTACTGTGGGATAAATAATACTGCAGTTAAAAGAATGTGTTAGAACCTGGAGGCAATACAAAGGAAAAGTTCCAAAAATATTTTGAGTAATGGCAGCATAATTGGAATAACGCTTTTAATAAAGGTGACTCTTTTGAAGGGGACAATATATTCAGTTGATCAAGTTTTGGCATGTTAAAAAAGTCAATTCAATTTATAGTAATATTTTAGAGTAAAATTTTTTTTATAGTAAGTAACTTTTGCAAACCCTTGAGACCACTTAGTATGTGTAATGTTCACCTAATTTTAGTGATTGTATATAACTGATTGATGGTGATAGACTCTGTATTTTTGTTACACTTTGTATTTTTGTTAACTTTGTGCTGTTCTCATCACCACAAGGTGTTTGGCCACAAGGTGATGGATATTTTTGATCATCAGAATTCTCAGGAAGCAGCTAATAAATTATAGAGGGGTTGGTAGCCTTGTATCTATGCACAGAGTAACCCTAGTTATAAAATTATAGATCCTTGGAACATTGAAGTTTTTGGGGGTAGATAGGGATGATCCATATCTGATTTTTTTGTTGTGGGGATCTCTCAGATAGAAAAGCTGCTCTGCAGCTTACAGTCAGAGACAGAGTTACCTGGGCTTCTGAGAGGTCAGGTACCTTGCCCAAGGTCATAGAGCCAATATATGTTAGCCATGGGACTTGAGCCCAAGTCTTTTATGCTGAGTATGTAACTGAAAATAGTAACATTGTAATTCTTTAATAATCTCAGTCACATTTTTACTAATAGATAAGAGTCTAAGTTGATTAATAGCTTTTATGATTATATGTGTACTGCATAAATATGTTCTTGTATTTATTATGTTGAAAAAAATATTTGCCATTTGATTATCTCCTTCTAGCTATTTTGTTTGAGTGTGTCCATACAATTTATACCATCTATCCTAAACCTGAATTGCTTGAGAAAGCTGCTAGATGCATTGGAAAATTTGTTTTGTCTCCTAAAATAAATCTCAAATATTTAGGTAAGACAGTTAAATACTTCAGCAGTACTTTTGAAAAAGTCTGTAAAATTTTGTATACATTTGTTTCAAATCACTTTGTAGATTGTAACTTTTTTTCTAGGACTAAAGGCTCTTACCTATGTTATCCAGCAGGATCCCAATCTGGCACTTCAGCACCAGATGACAATAATTGAATGCTTAGACCATCCTGATCCCATTATTAAAAGAGAGGTAAATTGGTATTTTGAGTAGTGTTTGTGAGGTGTTATCATATCTTTAGCTTTTCTTACTGTTAATCAAATTCAGGGAAAAAAATTCTGACCTTTGAGCATTCAAATGGCATTGGGCACTAATGTTTTTCCTTTTCAATCAATAAAGGAACATTTCCAAAAACTAAATGCAACAGTATCAACTTGAGTGTATGTGAATTTGAATGATAAGGTGCAATTATCTGTTGGGTTAATTTAGACATAGGCCCACCTCTTTTTTGGTAAGAGCATTGGATTAATAGTTAGGATACCCTACCTCTGCAATGGATTTGTAGTGTAATCTAGGTTAAATAATTTCTTTTTTCTGCAGCCCAGTTTTTTCATTTGTAAAAGAGGTTAATCCTTGCCTGACTTCTTAAACAGGGATGTTGAGAGAGCAAATTAAAATATCCATAAAGTGATTTGAACTCCTTGGAAGGAAGGTGTATATTTTTATATCCCCTTGTATCTATGCCCTCTGTAAAGGTGCTTTCAAATATGCATGTATATATGTGTGTACATATATATGTATATATTAGTGTTTGTCTTTATATATGTGTGTTTAGACCTATATGCAGAAACTATTCAACCTGCAAATGGGCAGTTTTCTGCAGATTAGTAGGTGGGACTAGGCCAAATATAGAGAAAAATTTGCATACTAACTTTTAAAACTAAGTTTTGATGGGGAAGAAAAAAGAACCAAAACTTCTGATTAAATAGTGAGTTCGTTTAAAATATTTTTAAAAATAACTTGATATGATTAACAAAAAAGTATTAGACATTTTGAGTTAAAGACCTTATTTTTGAACAAATAAAAAGATTTCTTAAAAACAAAGTTTTCTTTTTTTCATCTTTATATTCTTATCTGCTCTATTTTTAGGATAGTTCTCACCAGTTTTCAGGGAGGGTAGTCTATTTGCAAAATGGGTTGGTTTCTGCATGTTGGCTATGTTTTACAGAAAGGCAAACTAAGAATAATAATAAATGGCACTCCCAGTCCCACCTATTCAATATAAGGGAAGGCTCTTTCCAAGAGAGCAATCTGGGAGTTAAGTTTACTTTTTAGAGTGGAATAATTCAAAAAAATTGTTCAATAACTAATTTTTATCAAATTTTCCTATGATGTTTAGATATTGTACTCCCACTTTAAAATGAGGGTCAGAGGGAAAACTAGAATGCCAAACTAAAAAAGTTGTTAAAGCAGGGAACAAATTTGGTATTTATTAAAAATGTCTCTTATTTATCTAATTGTAGGTCTTTAGGTAACATAAACCTAATGTGCTTATTAATACATCAAGGTACTATAGATTAGGTAACTCAATGTGGAGTTAGTATTCTCATAGTAATTGCACACATAAAAAAAAACTCACCCAATTAAAATTTTAAGAAGATTTATGTCCTACTAGAAGTGATGGTGATGAGGATTAAAAATACTTAACCAAGAAATACCTAAAAAGGTTAGTTTTGACAAGATAGGTAAGTGGAGTATGTGCACATTCTCTTATAAATAAGTAAACAGACTGGTTACCACAGAGATTGTTGGGGCTAGTAATGACCTCTTAAAATAAGAGAACTACTACCCTGGGAATAATCCAATGGTATTTTGGTCTTATGCTACTTTTTGGGAACTTTGCTAGGTTAGAAAGCCCTTCCCAGGACCTGGGAAAGTTGCCCAATACTTCTTGTTCTAGCTCATCTTTCGTTATGGTATTGGGTCAGGAAGATTGAACATCAGTGAGGAAGTACTGTAGCCAGGAAACTACTTTTTTGGCTGTGGATGTAGGTCTTGGTATTTACTTATCCAGATCCTTCTAGAATAAGAGACTATATAGTATATCATTTTTGGGGAGGAGGAGAAAAATATTTCTCTAATTATTTTCTTCAAGCATAATTAGTTTTCATTCTCTCAGGAAGTGTAATTTTTAAGTCCCATGAGAAGGTAATAGGCAATATTGTTTCTAATAGTGAATTTATTATGTAGGTTGCCAAACACATACATGTAAAAATAAAATTCAGGGTAGAGCTATCTTTAAATTTTTGGAATAATCTTAAAATTTTGTAGGTTTTTTTTTTAGAATTTTTCATGGCCTCTAGCTTAGACATTTCTGGTCTTAATTATGTGTACCAAGATGTTCTTAGATACCAGTTACCAATAGAGAGGTGATATGGCATGGATTATTAAAATGCTATGTAGTTTATGTACACCACACGTATATTTAAACATCTTGGCAATATTGTTAGCTTTCTAATTGTGTTTTGCATAGACCATTACAAGTTAGTGTGCATTCATTGAATATATTACCTGAGAACCCAGAACTTATTGGAGAATTTATGGATAATCCAAAAAAGTAGGTTATCCATACAAGGGTAAAATTGACTTAACTATGTTATAAGCAGATATGATCTGATTAATTTTAATAGTTCAATGTGCTGCTTGTCAACTTATAAATGACATAATTATGAATAGTTTGGTAATGATATTTTTATTTCCTTTCTTTAAATAGACATTGGAACTTCTTTATAGAATTACTAATGCACAGAATGTAAGTGTTATTGTCCAGAAAATGCTTGAATATTTGCATCAGAGCAAAGAAGAATATATCATCATCAGTTTAGTTGGCAAAATAGCTGAGCTGGCTGAGAAATATCCTTTTCTGGGAGGGGTGGGCGTGAGCTACATATTTCCTTTAGATTTAAAGTGACTAGACATTTTTCCTGTTAGAACTGAAGTACAAATACATAAAAGTGTTTATGGACATATTTATAGTTCAGGATGCCAATAGTAACCTTTTTTTTTTGTTTTTGTTTTTAAGGGTATTTTGCTGGCAAGGGCAGCAAAGCAAGGCTTTTTTGAATGATGTACCTTCTCCTGAATCCTCTCAGTGAATAATATTAGGCTCAAAGATTTTCAACATGTATTTAAGCTGATCTTATTCTGTCTTTCATTTCTTTTATTAAATCCACTGGACAAAATTCCCATCCATCGCAAGAACAGGAAGGATCCTCTCCATTAGGATAATCCTTAGCTACCCTAATTTTTATGCTAGTATTTGTCATAATAACATTCCATTTGGAACATGATTCCCCTTTTGCCGTCTTACATTTTCCTTCTGAAATTTCTGTAATGGGACTATTTTACCTGTTACTAGGACACAGGAGATTCTATTATTTCCAAAGCAGAAATTATTTTAAATCTAGAAGAAAAAAAGGTATAGGTATGTGCCTAAATCAATTATATATTTGAGTTTACATAGGCTGTAATATTTGGTCTTTATGATGCACATGGGATTTAATCTTTAAATCTTCAGGTAATGAATCCGTTTTATTTATTTTTTCATTCAACAAATATAATTGAGTACTTTTTATGTGGAAAAAAACCATGTTAGATACTGAGACACTAACTTAGAGTTTGTGTTTGAGGTTTTTTGCCAAGTTTAAACTAAAGCTGCTACCAAATATAATCAGTTTTTTTGGAAAGATTGCAGAAGAAAAGATAATTTCAGTAAGTAGTGTTGTGAAAGACACATTTTCTTAACATTGTGGCTACGTATGCTCCTGATAATGAATGGTTTATCCAGACGATGAATGCTGTATTTTCAGTGGGAGGAGATGTGATGCATCCTGATATCCCTAACAATTTTTTGAGACTCCTGGCAGAAGGTTGGTACTTTTCTATAAAGAAGGAAATTAAAAATGAAATATATTTCGTTACAGCATCCACATATGGTTCAGTGGTAATATAAATGGTGTATTATTTCTCTGTAGGTTTTGATGATGAAAACGAAGACAAACAGCTAAGACTCTATGCAGTCCAGTCTTATCTCAGCTTACTAGAAATAGAAAATGCATTTTATCCACAGAGATTTCTGCAGGTCATGAGCTGGGTGAGCAAAGTACATTATAGAATACTCTGATTTATCTTAAAATTTATAGGATTGGTTATTACAGTAACTATGTAGTACCTGTCCCATGATTGTTTTATTGATTTCGATGTTGTACTACTTTCAGGTATCCTTCCATTTTTTTCCCTAGCCTTACTGCCTCCCACATACCTCTCTGTTCACTTCTTTCTCTCTCCTGCCAATTCCTGAACTGTCTCACTTTGAATATGTATGTGTGTGTGTGTGTATATATATTTGTGTGTCAATTTTTTTTTCAGTTGTATCAGTGGTGTCAAACTTAAATAGAAAACGATCCCTGTGGGATGCATATTGACTTAGAAAACCTCAAATTAACATTATTTATATTATATTTTTATTTATTTTGTTAAACATTTCCCAATTACATTTTCTTTTTTTGGTGAGGCAATTGGGGTTAAGTGACTTGCCCAGAGTCACACAGCTAGTAAGTGTTATGTGTCTGAGCCTGGATTTGAACTCAGGTCGTCCTGACTTCAGGGCCAGTGCTCTATCCACTGTGCCACCTAGCTGCCCCTCCCAATTACATTTTAATCTGGTCCCAGCTCACTACTTGGGTTTTTGTAGGCAGCCAGGTTTGACACCTCTAGTCTATGGAATTGTATATGTGGTTTTTAATAGATGTTTGAATTTTTGTGGACTTCTACATATGTGTTCATCTATGCATAGGTACCTGTCTTATGGATATATCAGGGTGTGTGTTTTTATAGATCATTATTATGGTTAATCTTGTATATATCAGAGTGAGACATGACATTTTTGGAGATTTTGAAGCCATAGAGATAATTATGAGGGAGGAGAAGAGGGAAATGACCATTTTTTAAAAAAGAAAATATATGCAATGCATATCTTTCTAGCCTTACTTACAGATCTCAGATCACTTTGTTAATTTTTTCATAAAATATTTTGTATACTAAATTTAAATTATAGCTTGCTCAGATAATTACAAATCTGTTCGTTGAATTTACTTTTAGATTTTTTTTTCTTACAAATAGTAGCTATAAGTTGCTGATGCTTTAGGATTCTAGCATATTTTAATTTTTTCCTATTTATAAGAAGCAGACAACAGATTGAACTTAGTTGAAAAATGTTTAGTGCCTGGCATTTTGCTCAGCGCTGGGGATACAAAAACATCCCTGCCCTCAAGAAACTTACAATCTGATAGGGGAAGACATTACGCAAAAAGAAACTGAAAAGTGAGGGGCAGGGGAATGATGTTCAGAATTGAAACCAAGTAGAGTTAAAACCAAGCAAAGCCTCTCTGGAAAATGAAGAGTTTCCTTGAAAGTTCTGAGCCCTGTCTAAAGGAAGGTTTTAGGAGGAGTCTGTTGTTCTGCCCTCCAACACTCCGTTCTCAACTGAGGGAGCTGAGAAGGTCTTGAGTATCATAGATGAGTTAATCTGCATGATGAAATTTCAGGTGTTAAGCTTATTCTGGAGGATTCATTGATATTCCTGCAGTCAAAACCCAGTAGATGGAAAATGAGGAGCACAACTTAGAAGAAAGCATCAGCATGATAGTAAAACAAAATAGTTTTTATGGATGAAGTAACCCCCATGATGTCAAGGAGATACAGAAAGTGCTTATTTTCAGAACACAACTGAGGGAGAAAAAGAAAAAGATGGGGTTAGGAAGAAAAAGGTGGGGTTAGGGAGAAAAAAATGAACTCATGTATTATAACTTTTGCTACCTGGAATTCTGTTCTAAGTGCTCCAGTCATCTGAGCTACCAATAACACCAACTTTTGGGTTTTTTTTTCCCTGACGCTTCATGTGTGGTATCTTCATGAACTTAAAGTTTGAAAGGTTTGTCCAGATTGAGACAAGGTTCTTAACCTTTCATCTATTTGTTTATTTTATGATTTAGTGTAACTATGTTAGGCAGTGTGGTGTAGTGGTTTGAGATCTGCCCTTGGTGTTAGAAAAACCTGGGTTCAATTCTTGCTTATGAAACATTCTGGGTAAGTTATTTCACCTCTCAGGGAGAAGCCCAAGCAACTTTTAAGCTTCTCTACAAAGAAGCTGCTTATTTGTATTAGTAAAGGAAGATTCCCATTGGGAACTACCTGCTCTGTGAAATTATGGGTCCATGAAAATAACTGATCCTCAATGTATAGGTATTATAATATTTTAGCCTTGCATTAGGTTTTCTTTTAAAAAAAATAGTTGCATGGTTTTTTTTTAAGTTAATTTTTTTCAATCCATAAAAATACACCTTATTTTCCTTCCCACCTTTCTCCCTCCTTCCTTTAAAAAAGAAAGATAAAACTCTTGTTACAACTGTTTATAGTTGAACAAAACAAATGCCTGCTTGACTATCTTAAAAAAAAAAGTCTCAATCTGCACTCTTGGGACCATCACCTCTCTCTCAGGAGGTGGGTAATATATTTTATCATGTGTCCTCTGGAATTGTGCTTGGTCATTGTATTGGTCAGAGTTCCTAAGTCTTTCAAAATTTGTCCTTATAATTTTTGTATTGTATACATTGTTCTCCTGATTCTTCTTCCCTCACTAAGTATTTAAGTTCATACAAATCTTTTTAGCTTTCTCTGTATAATAATTGTATAATAATTCCATCACATCCATATACTATAACTTGTTTATCCATTCTTCAATTGATGGGTACTCCTTCATTTTCCAATTTTTTGCTATCACTAAAAGGGCCACTGTAAATAGTTTTGTGCACATGGGTCTTTTTCCTCTTTCTCTGATCTCTTTGGGGTATAGGTCTAATGGTGGTATTGCTTACGTCTAAGTCATGGACCCATTTAGAGCTTATTTTGGTATAATGTGTGAGAGATTTCTCTGTACTTGGTTTCTGCCAGACTCTTTTCTAGTTTTTCTAATGGTGTTTCCTAAATATTGACTTCTTACCCCAATAGTTGGGACCTTTGGGTTTATTAAAAAAAAAAAAATTAGTCTGCTGTGCTCATATTTGCCTCTGCATAATGTGTGCTTAATCTGTTCCACTTACTATTTCTTACCAGTATCAAATTATTTTGATGGCTATTTCTTTGTGGTATAGTTTAAGATCTGGTATTACCAGGCCCCTTTGTTTCCTACTTTTTTCCATTATTTCCCTTGAGATTCTTGTCCTTTGGTTTTTCCACATGAATTTTGATGTTTTTCTGACTCTATAAAGCAAACTTTTGGTAGTTTGATTCATTGCATGATTTTATTATACATTTTTGTTAATTTTTTTTTAATATTATCCACAGTTATTGCACAGCTTTTACAATTCATGTTGAGGGACTAAATGTCAAGTCACAATACATAAACATCTAATTAAAGATTTTTTTTTTAATTGTTTTTCAATTTTTTTTCCAAACTGGTATGAGATGGTCAAGAAGAAGTCCTTGGAGAAAAAAGGCTTTTTTTTTTTTATTCCTTCTTGCATTTTTCTGTCTCATCACACTCTCTTCCTCTACCCAGCCCTGATGGTGCTAAATTAGAAATATGCAAATGCTGTGTAGTGCCTGAACCAATGAAATGTCAGCTCAGGGGTTGTTTCTGGTCCAGGAGGGATTCTACGTGTCATGAATGGATTAAATCACTTATAAAAGTAATGTGTATTATAACCAGAGGCTGTGAGAGACTACACATAAGTCTTCTGGGGACTAACCTAGCCAAGGTCAGAGAGAATTGTCACCAAATTGGCTGCAGGGTGATACTGGCCACAGCAACTCTTAAATCATAAAGGAGATGCACTCTGCATTGCTGGTCTGCCCCAGTTAAATCACAGATTGTTGATGTATACATATATATTTTAGAATAGTAAGGAAATGTAAATGTGCTGATAAAATCAGTAGCCAGAACTGATTAGTCTGGAAAGAGCAATCTTGTAATGATGTGCTACTAGCATATTTAAATAGTAAATGATAATGTCTGAAAATTGTCGATATTTAGTTCCATTCCTTAAGTACATTTTCACATTAAAATGTGCCAGTGAAACTGGTCTCAAGAATGCCTTCGCTAGTAGAGAATGTCTAATGTAGATAAAGTCAATTGTAAGGAAACGTGTATTTGTTTAATTTTCACAGATTAATTTGCTGTCTGACTTGATTTATGTATGTAATCATCATCTCTTTGTTTGTTACTCACAGGTATTAGGAGAATATTCCTACCTTTTAGATAAGGGAACACCAGAGATCGTTATAACAAAGCTCTACGGGTTGCTTATGAATAAATCTACCACTTCAGAAACAAAAGCCTGGATTATGGCTGCGGTGACCAAGTTGACACTCCAAGCACCCTCCTCTAAAACAGTTGAGAAACTAATCCAGGAATTCAGTGTATCCCTGGACACTTGTATGAGACAGCATGCTTTTGAATTAAAACATTTACGGGAGAATGTGGAACTTATGAAGAACTTACTTCCAATTGATAAAAGTTGTGAAGACTTAGTGGTAAGACATCTATACTCTATTAAAACTATACTATTTTAAAATATAACAAGGTATTTCTTTAAGTTTTTAGTCAAGTTGTTTTTAATATCTGAAGTAAAATGTTTGGGAAATTGGGGATTGTAACATTAATAGGTCACAACTAATGGGCATAGAACATACTGTGGAACAAACAAGAACCCTACTTAGTTCATTATCAAGGTCATTATACTAAGGAGATCAGAACGGGTTAAATGTTCAGAATCATACAGTTATTTCTTGATTATCTACTAATACATATTATGTATTATCTACTTTCTCTGTTGATGTATTCTCAGAATTAGGTGTTCCCCTTTAGAGACTCTTTTCTCAAAATGAGCCCCATTTCCTCATCTTGGTCTGAATCAAAAAATTTTCAAAGAGAAGTTAGTTATGCTCAGGTTTCTATGAATTAAACTGACCAAAGGATTTGGGAGAAGAAAGTAAAGAATTAGAGATCCTAGTTTGGGTTCATTTTTCATTCATTATTTCAGTGAACTCACATAGCATTGACACCTAATAGTAGAGGTATTTTGCAGCATACAAAGGAAATGGAAGACTCAGGTCTTCTACCCCATCACATTATCTTGTTGATGTCAGACAAGCCATAGTGTAGTGGATACAACTCTAGATTTGGAATCAGAAGCCATGGTTCAGGTCTGAACTCTAGCTCCTACTACTTCTTTGACTTTGGGCAGGTCACTTAACCCCTCTGGACCTCAGTTCTCTTATCTGTGATGTGAAGGGGATGAACTAGATAATCCCTGTGGTCACTTCCAGCTCTGAATCCCATCACCTTAAGTTCAAAATTAAATATAAAAAGGTCAAGTATAAATGATTTTGTGAATATCCATTTTTAGATGATTGATGCTATTGTAGTCAAACATTAATTTGGATCTGAGGTATTACGTATATTTCTTTTTCTTTCCCCTTCCCCCTCACTTTTTTTCACTATCACTAATTCCTTTTTTTTCCTCTCTTTTCCTTTCTCTTTTTCCTTCTGATCTACCTTTTTATTACAACTAAAATGAAAAGTGAGAGCTTTTTTAATTCAAATAGCATAATTAAACTGATGTCATCATGCCTTAAATGTTCCATTGTAAGCAGTTCTGTTTTTTTCATTGTGTTTGCTGAGGCTGTCTCATTCATACTGTTGTATTAATTACTATTTTCTTTGACTAGATTTCTTAAGAGGTCAGTAATTTGGGCAGTTGCTTTGAAATTTAGGCTTATGTTCATTTCACTCTAATTTAAAAAAGTAGTAGAATTTGAATGTGTTATTTATATAGATTGTGTGAATAGTATTTTATTAATATAAAAATACCTTATTTTTTGTTGCCATATCAAGTTAAATTATTTAAGTTAAAGGGTGACTCCCTGAATGCTTATGTTTTCAAACAGACTCCCAATTTTATTCTCCATTTAATATAGGTAGATGCTTCTTTGTCCTTCCTGGATGGTTTTGTGGCTGAAGGACTAGATCAAGGAGCAGCTCCATATAAGCCTCATCATCAGCGACAAGAAGAAAAGCTTTCTCAGGGAAAAGGTGATTATAATTTGTATAGAACCAGACCTTTGGGTAACACACCTTTCATTTGGACATTACTTTTAACCATGTGATTAAGCAACTACAAAAATTTAGTATTTTCGTCCTACTTTAAGCTTCTGTGTACATTGCATATCCTGATTACATATCCAGAAGTAAAACATGCTGCCTCAGAAGTGTGTGAATCACAGGGCCACGTCTATAGAGCAGAGTATAGGTAATTCACTGGAATAGCATATATCCACCATGGAGTTTGGAAAAAATTGTGATAAGATTATATTAGTCAAATATCCTAGCATGTGTAATAGTTGATAAATGGCTCCTGTGCCTGGGGATTGGTATATTATAGTTTTATAAGAAGTGATACAGAGATGGTCCTGGGTACTCCAGATTAGGGAGTCATACTATCATACTATTTAATTCAGTTTAATTCAGTAAACATTTAGGAAGCACCTACTACATGTCAGGCACTGTGCCAAGCCCTGGGTATACCAAAGAGGCAAAAGATAGTCTCTTCCCTCAAGGAATAGTTTAGTGAAAGTTCTGATAAGCTCTTCATTTTGATCCAAGAAAGGGACTTGTAAGTCATTGTAAATTGTTCCTTGAAGATACCTGCTTTATGGAATTTGTTCCTTGCAATACCATAGCCCTAAAAATCAAAGAAATACTATATATCATCAAAAAAGTTTTGGAGACAAGCAATTTTACCCCTATTAAGGACTGTGGTGTTTCTATATTGTAATATAGAGTGTACTTTTGATTGCTGTACCTCAGGAAAGGAATAATGGAACTGGAGAGAGATCCAGAGAAGAGCAACTAAATTGGTCAAAGGATAAAGTAACTGTCATATGAGGACATAACGAAAAAGTGGAAGGACTTTTTAGTCAGGAAAGAAAAAAACAAAGAGGGAATTTGGTCACAGAATCCTAAGGGCTATGTATAGGTTAAACATTAAATTGTTAACCAAACAGTGATATATTAGAACTAGGAATTAACCACCACAGCATTGAAGGACAACCAATTAAATTGAAGACCTGAGGATAACACAAGAATTGCATTACACTTTGTTGTATCCCCATTACACCTAGCAATGCTAGGCAAGAAGCTGATGCTGAGTAAGATCTGTTGGCTGAAACCTGTTGAACGAAACAGAATGAAGTACTTTTCCACAGAGTGTATTATACATGTTTGAGAGATTTAGAAAAATTTTAGATGGTCTTTCCATAATGAATTATTGAGAGAAACCAAGACACTCTGTTCTTGGTGGTTAGTGCCACATATCTCTTGTGACTGCTGTCAAAGAGACCATTAAGTTGGATGCACCATGAGTCAGACCTGGTAAAGCAGTTTTTATTTTCTTTTAGGTGAAGAAATTTAAAAACCAAATAATTTGTGACTTTCCCAAGGGCTATGATCTTATGAGCCAAAATAGAACTAGTTAATAAAGCCAGGATTAAAACTCAGGTCTTCTGACTTCTAGGCTAGTATTTTTCCTTTAGAAAATGAGTGATTGCCCAGATTGAGTTTATGTGAGTAACAATTTATATGAGCAGCTATTTGAGCTAGATAAAGTACAAAAATAACTACCACTGAAACCACCTAGTGATGTTTCATTGTCTTAGTCACTAATTGTCAAAATCCCGCATTGGACTACTGAAATGAATATATCTCACCTTTTCTGAAAATGCATTTGTTTTGATGGCAGATAGTAGCCAAATGTTCTCATCCATGTAGCTATAGATGGAAAGCTGTGGGCTAAAGGGATGCCTAGAGGCATCGCATTTGTACCTATTTGTTATGTGAGCATGTAAGTTGCCTCTGACTTGTAACACTGAAATACAGGTTAGCTCTAGGAATCCAGATCAAGTTAACCTCTTCAACCCAATCTGATCCAGACCAGTCCTGGGGGATTCATATTTTAGGTACTTAATATTATTATAGATTACTTACTGCATAGAAAAGCTATATATTTATTTTAAGAAATTTTAACTCTTCTGGAGTTTTTTTTTTATTATTTAAAGTACATTTGTATTTTCTGTTTTTGATGATTTGAAACATTAAAATTGACTGTAGTTTCCTTCTACATCATTACATCTATTTTGTCTCCTCTGACATTGTTTACTGTGTGGACTTTATGTGACCTTTGATCTTCTTGGTAAATCTCTGTCCTGTTTACCTTCTCCTCTCTTTCTGACTGCTTCCCTTCTCTGATTACTCTGGTCAAAGGCCTTCAGTTAATTGATCTATAAAATGAGGGATTTGAACTAGTTGACATCCAAGGTGTCTTCATCACTAAAACTCTATGATATTCATGATATCAGACATACTCTGACTACTTTGTCTTCCCCTTTCACTTTTGTATTGACCCTCTACTGCTTATGCTATTAATTCACAATCACTTTTGTTGTCCTTTACTTCTTTCTTGCTGGCATACAGAAACATTGGAACTACTTCCAAAAGAAAGCTACATGTGCTGATATCCTTCTGTCCTAATTGTTCTTAATGCTTTGTTAACTCATTCAACTACTGACACATTAATTAGCTCTTCATCTCCCTTTTCTTTCAGTCTTCTGTCATTTGTGAAGAGCTTCTGTGTTTTGCTGGTAAGACTGAATAATTCAGGCTTGAGTTTATTCTTTATCTTGGCCTCCTTCCAGACCTCCTTCTGATAACATTCCTCCCCTCTTCCTATTAATCTCCAGCCTTCCTGATTTGTTACAGTACCCCATCTACATAGGATGGTGGTTAGTGCCACATATCTCTTGTGACTGCTGTCAACTCATAGGATTATATGATCTTCTCTTTCTTATCCTGTCCTTCCTTACTCTTGATCTTTTCCAATTTCTGATTTTTAGCCTCTTTTTCTCCTTTGTCCCACACCTCATTGCTTTTAAGCATGATCCAGGTCATATATTTTTTTAAACAGTACCTTGTCTGAGATGACTTTCTGATAAGAAAGATAGAGAAATAAGGGAAGTAGAAAGGTAATAAGCATTTATATTGTGCCTACTATTTGCCAGCCAGAATGCCAAGTCCTTTTTACAAATAGTATCTCATTTGATCCTTATAACAACCCTGTGAGGTAGGTGCTATTATTATGTCCATTTTTTTTTTTTTGAGTGGAGGAAGCTGAGGCAAAGGTTAAGTGACTTGTCCAAGGTCACACAGCTAGTAAGTGTCTGATCCTGGATTTGAACTCAGTTCTTCCTGACTCTAGGCTTAGTGCTCTATCTATCCACTGAGCCACCCCAGCCCCCGAAGGGAGGGAGTGTGCCTCTATTAGGGGTTATATTATTGGGTAGGAGATTAAATTAGATCAATTCTGAGATAGCTTCAAACTCTTAAGATTCCACAATTCATTTGGTTCCCTTAAACAGGACAGGAGCACTAAAAATATCTTGGCTAGTTAATCAACTCTCATTGAAAATGATATTCTTTAATATGAATGGGAATTGTTTGGTAGCATGATGAATTAAAGTCATGGGAACCTCCCCTTCAGTAGAAGAAAGACTTGATTAAAGACATTGAAGTACAACTTTAAATACTTTGGCAAATGACATAAACACATGGACTGCTGTGGGTAGAGGGGGTGGTAGTCAGAATGTGTTCCCAGGGAGGCCTTGGGTGGTATATCAAGGAAGGAGGGAGTTCAGAAATCAGCAGACGGATAGGGTGGATCCTTCTGAGAAAAACTTTGAATTAAAAATTACCTATTTCACTTCATTCTGCAAAACAAATACAATATTAGCATGTGAAAATATTTTCATGTCACTAGGTCATTTATTGATTGTTTTAACCACATTTGTACACTATAGACTGGTAATTCATTAGCTTTACATGATAATATAATAATAATAACTAGCATTTATATAGTGCCTTATGTTTACAAAGTGTTTTACAAATATTATTTCATTTGATCCTCACAACAGTCCTATAAGGTAGGTGCTATTATTAACCCTGTTTTACAGATGAGGAAACTGAGGCAAACAGGCTAAATGACTTGCCCAGAGTCACACAGCTATTAAGTGTCTGTGTGTCTGAATTTGAACTCCAGTCTTCCTGGATCCAGAGTCTAGCACTCTATCCACTGCACCAACTAGCTGCCTATTTAATAAAGAGTTATAGCGAACAATTCAGAACAATTTAATGGGAAGAGATCAGCAAAAATTGTTTGCTTTCTTTATAGCTTCCAGCATGAAATACTTAAGAAACATGCTTAAAATATTATTGAGGCCTGTTCAGATCATTGCTTTGTTGTGCCTCTGATCATTCTTAGGTAGAATTTAGACAATAAAACTTTGAGAATTGGAATATTTAACTGAGTCTTCTCCTGTACTATGAATCCTGTTTATCTCTGACTCCTGTCATAGTAGCTGTTCTTAATCTCCTTGCTCCTCAAGCCCCTAACTGCATCATTGCATCACTCTCAGCTAATGAACCTTTCTTAATATTTTCCTTTATCAAGAAAATTGAAGCTAAACATCCTAAGCTCCAACCTCTCTGACTTCACTCATCCTATCTAGTCTCACAGTATGAAATGGCTCTCCTCCTTGCCAAGGCTAACCCCTCCAGTTTTTCTTTTTAATTGATATACTTTATCTTAACATAGTAATCACTTCACAGAAACAGTTCCTACCAAGTACTGTCCCTTTAAAAAAGAAGCTAAACAGAACTGTTTCTGTTCTTAGAGTTTACCGTTTCTTAACAGAAAGGAAGTATATTTTGATATGAATCATCTAGAGTCATCATTGGGCTTTGCATTTGACCTGAATTCTGTTGCCTTTTAGTGCTATTGTTATTTACATTATTATAGTCATTGTGTAAATTGTCTTTTGGTTCTGCTTTCTTCACTCTTTATCAGTTCATTTTAGTCTTACATGTTTCTTTGAATTATTCATGTTCACCCTTCTTTATGGTACAGTAACTTTCTCTTATGATTATATACAGCAGTTTGTTCAGGCATTTCCTGCCTCCTATAGGCGCATAATCTGCTAACAAAT